ACTATCTGAGTATGGACTTTTTTTAGAAGACATTATTAAGTTTAGACATTTTCGTAGTGGACTTTTTAGTTCCAGACATTGTAAATTTAGACCAAAAAATGTAGACTTTCTGCTTGTGGACATTTTTTCTGTAGACCTTCTGTCTGCATACCTGGAAAATTCCCAAGAAGTTTAACGTGATGTTTTGATTTCCGTAAAAAAATAGGAAACGAAAAGAAAATAGGCAACGGGAAATGCAGTTGAGTTGATTCCGATTAAATCCGTCCATTTAATAGATTCTTCCACGAAAAATCGAAGGTATCTCCGGCAATACGGCAATACAAGAGGAATAAGGAGCTCACTAAAATGGCCTTCGGGGAGGGAAGTAGGGGGCAGCTTAGTGTCAACTCAGTTCGGCTTTTGCATCTTTTACGTATTGCTTCCTGTCCTTCCTTGCCTCCCCCCCCCCTTTCTAAAGCCTACGCGCTCGACCAGAAAGCTACACTTCCATCAGTGCCTCCCGAATCCGAAGCCATTCTCCAGGATGAGATCGAGGTTTTTTGTACTTCCGGTTTTGTTTTTTCGGTTTCGGACCTTGAGCTCGGAGAGAGTTTCTCGCAGCGCTCACTGGATCGAGTCAATAGGAGAGGTCGGACAAAAAGCGGAAACTTCAAACCCTTATAACTCCATTTGCACAGAACTTTGAGGTTCTAAAAGTGGTTCTATTGGTTTCCTCGTGAAATTTTCTTTTGCAAGCACCCCTTAAAACTGAAAATGTGGCGAAATAAACATCGAAATTTGCAGTTTTAGTCAGAAATTCCCTGTCCAGTCTCTCTAATTGACTCGATTCATTGTGCGGCGTTAAATGGACTGCATTTTGCAATTTGGAACTATAAATTCTGGCTCTTCTGGAAAAACACTTATGTGCATAGGGAAACTGATGGAACATACGTTGTTTTTAAGCCGGGCTAGAATTTATAGTTCCAAATTGCAAAATGTAGTGCAAATATGTGTGGCAATCTCTTCACTATTCTACCGTGCAACGCAAAACTGCCGTAAACGCCACTTTACATTTTTCGGGAACAATGTACCATAGCAGAAAAACTTGTGAACCATGGGACAGTGTTTTTACCGAATTATTTTGCAAATACTGTCAAGAACTTAACCTGAAAATTTGAGGTGCATGGGTAAAACGGTTTTAAAGTGTTAAGTTCTAAAAAAACGAGGGAAAATCATGATGAATGTACGGCGTTCTTGCTTAGCGCGGCAGTATTGCCGGGGAAAAGGGCAAAATATCGGATATTGCTCGGACAGATTGTGAAGTTAGGAGAGTATTTTAGACTTTCCCGATGCGCTCATCGTGATTTTTGGTCCACTATCTGTAAGATCTGTAAGATACAATTCTTTTTGCACTAGGTGAAGTTCGCAACGGGCTCAGTTAAGGGAGGCTGAGAGAGTTAGTTATGTCGAAGGCAATTAGTCAAATCAGGCATTTATTCAAATATGCCTATGCTGGTAGTCAAATTTTGACCGTTTACGGAATTTTGTAAATTTATGGCAAAGCGTTCACGGGTTTTCAATATTTTGGGAATAACTCTTCAAGCCCGCGAACTCTCCTTGTTCCTTCCTTTTTACATGCCTTCAGTGCATTTAAATGTTATAATTTTAAAAATTCTATGTTTTATGGCGTGCTGAAAATTGCATGAGAAATGTGCATTCAGGATCTTCCCTGGTAAAAATTGGCAGTAGAATCTGTGTTCCAAAATACCATAGACTTACGGCCGGCTGTAAGATTTCCAATAGCTCCCATAGCCGGCTACACAATTTCTTATAGCCTTTTATAGCCGATGGCGATTAAGCAACTCACAGCCAGGCGATAAAGTGTATGCTAAGCGTCACTAATTACGGATGCTAGGACTTAGTGAGTTTTTGGACCACTGCTCTCTTTTTGGGCCGTACTATCTGGATTTATTTTGCGAGGAAAGCTCCGTACTTTTGATGGATGCCTGCCATTCCTAATATATTAGAGCGTCTTCAGTTTCGTATGATACTGTGCAATACCTCTGGTGTGAAATAGTTGCTTCAAGCGCCGTGGCACGCTGCGGTGCGGCAGGCGGGCAACCAGCGCGAAACGCGCATTGGCGCCTACAAACCTAACAGGGATACTTCATGCGTTGCGCTATGCGTGAAGTATCCCTGTTAGGTTTGCAGGCGCCAGTGCGTCGTCGCTCCGCTTTGTGTTAGACTCTAATATTTAATCTGGCGGAGTCAGCGTTATTCAACTCATGATTTTGAAATGTTTTCACATCCTGTATGGATTATTCTCATTTTAATTGATGGAAAAAATATGTATTAAAGGAAAATATAATGTGTGTTTTGTAAATATTAAGGTGGTTCCGTATCAAACTTAATGATTTCCAAAGCACACGGATTTCTACACAATTTCTTATAGCCTTTTTTAATCGATGGCGAAAAAGCAACAGCCAGGCGATAAAGTGTAAAGCCCGGCTATAGGAACTATAGCCCGGCGGCATAATTTTTTATCGCTTCGCATAGCCCGGCCGTATGATTTTCTCCGCATTCTACAGCCAGTTATATGATTTTCTGTAGCCTTCTTTAACCGGCTGTAAGAACTCCTATGGTATTTTGAAACGCAGCTCTTGTCGTCAATTTTTACCAGGGTTAAAATCGTTTAGAATACTATTGTATGCTGCATATTTTTACGGCAAATTCTTTCTTCCAGGAGTAACGAATAAATGTTTCTAAAATTAGGGTGCAAAATCAAAATTTCAATCTAAGTAAAAACAAGTTGGTTTTTGCAATCGCTAGCGATAGCAATATTCGTCATGGGAACTTTTGCTTCTGGGATATGAAAATTTTAAGGTAGGTACAGTTCGTTTGTAGTATCTTCAGAATTGAATGGGCTATGTAATTTTGTGTCGACATCTCTTTTTTAACATTTTTAATTTTTTTTCTTTGCATACAAGAAAGCTGTTATTTACCAATTATTTATTTTCGTTGGATTATGTATCGTTTTTGGAAGTTAACGCATTTAACTTTCAGTTTCGTTTTTTCGGCGTAAAGTATGATATTTTTACTCTACGCATATGCCCGAATACGCATCATAACGACGGTGAAACTACCAAACCACGTATCTCGTTTGCGGTGTTTAAAAATCTCCGCTCACATTTTATTTTTTTGAAGTAGACCAAATCCATATCATTCCTTGAAATTTTCACAGAATTTTCTCCGCACGAAGAGGAAAAATCACGGAAATTTTCAAGACTGGACGTTAAGTAGCTTTTCATTTAAAAAATAAAGTATGACAGGAAGTCTGCGACGTCGCAAACCGAGATACGCGGTTTGGTAGTTTCACCGTCGATAAGTGACCTATGTGCTTCCTAAGTTGCCATTTTTTTCATTCAAATAGATGTAACCGAAATGTTAGATGTGTACTACCTAAACTACTTTCATGTCATTGCTTTATTTATTTATTTATTTTTTGCGTAGGTATATATTGTTATTTTTTGCTGAATTTTGGAGAAAATATTGCTTTAAGAACGTGGAATGTAAATTAATTTTATTGAAAAAAGAAAATACCATCATTAATTTGGGCGAACAGAGAAAATATACATCAATATTTGGGTCAACATCTCCCTGATTATATAAAGGATGAATATATTAGTATTTCTGTATAAAAAAACTTAGCTTTTGTCTTCAGAGATACGATGATTCTAGTCCCAGTCAATTTGTTTTATTGAAAAAACAAAAAAAAAAAAAATAAAAAAATAAAAAAAAAAAAAACAACTGAAATGTTAGACAAACTATTTTCATGTCTTTCTATTTGTATCAATAGGTACTTTTTGCTTAACTTACGAACGTTGAATGCAAATTAACTTTCTTGAAAAAAGAAAATAACGTCATTAATTTGGGGGAACATGTGGCTGATTATATGAAGGAGGTATATTCCAGTATTTTTGTTTAACATATTAACTCACGAGAAAATGTTCGTACATTTATCATCTAGTATTAATTATTTTTTGATGATTGGTCTAAAACATTCAATACAACCATTAAAAATTATCTCCCATCGCCGGGTATCGAACTCCCGATCACCTATTGCCCGCACCTTATCAAAAATATGGGGCGCCTCAGTCGACTAGGCTATCACAGATCGGCGAAAGAATGGGAAAAAATAGCATTTAAAAGACTCGGACGATGGGCGGGACTTATCACAAGAGTTGTCCTTGAGCGATTCGGCGATTCGCGTCTTCGTAGCTTCTGGAGAAATGAGCTAAGCGCCTTTCTCTGTGAGACATTGTTTGCCTATGCTATCATGTGTCTCAAGGTTCATATCAGCAGGCATTTGCCATCGCGGCAGTAAGCTGAGGCAATATTTCTGTATTCATGGAATAAATCAATCAATCGAGTTCCGATTTTGGCTCATATATCCGTAACGGGTCCTCCAGAGCAGTTTTCCACCTTGCACAATAGTTATAATTTCTTTATTTCTATTTGTAAAATTTGAGGTGGGATAATGGCGGCTTCTCAAGAGCAACGAGGTAGGCGATCTTTTGCACCAACGAACAGAAAACTGATGGCGAAAAATAACCAATCAGAACCTCCCAAAAAAAAGAATTTGCCTAAAAACGGAACTTCGTGGATCTGCGCAGATTTACCAGTCAGACACGACATTTCAAGGTGGAAAAAAACTCGCTGAAAGCGAATTTTAGCAATCAACACAACTTGACGTAGAGACATGATTGGCTAAAAAATACAACGGTTTTTGATACATCGGAAAATCAACCAAAAATCGGAGACTGGGCGAAACGCTCAAGGTCGCAGAGGTATAGGGAATCCCATAGCGAAAGCAACGGAACGATTGTAATATCATGGGGAACTCCGTTCCCATGACAATATTTGACTATTTGCCTTGGCATTTGACAAAATGCCTGATTTGACTATTTGCCTTCGACAGTTATATAGAATAAAGATAGTGACTTAAAAACTGTAGCACGTACCTATCTGAGCTAGGGGCAAATGTGTCATGAGCTATAGTGCCGGCCTGGGGTAGGAGTGTGCAAGTCAAGACAAGAGAGATCTTCATGAGCTGCCGGCACCGCAGTAAGTACCAGCGGTCATTCCATCCGTCCAGTGGCCACCAATCATACCAACCAAAACGTTTGGAAATTGGTGACATGCGGATGATATAGTTATACGCCAATTTGTGCCACAATGAACCTGTGCAACTTTTGGTCAAAATGTGTGTGATTTTTGTACATCATTTGAAGAAAAATCAGTGAAATTCTCAGTAAAAAATGCCTCTGATTCTCCTGGTAACAATACGATTTGTGAGAGGTGGCAATATTTAAATCAGTGGCGTGGCGTGCTTTGCGATATATCGATTGTTCTGCCATTTAAATCTGTGGAAAAGGATCGATAAATAGGGTGTTCGCAGCGAACACATTAATAATCGATTCTTTACCATAGGTTTAAATGACAGAACAATCGATACATCGCAATTCACGCCACGCCACTGATTTAAATGGACGTCTTTATGCTAAAAGGAACTATGTGCATAGGTTTTGCATGGAACATAGTTCCTTTTAGCATAAATACGTCAGATGAAGTTCAGTTCTTTCGTGGAAGAAACGACGAATTCATTTAAAGCATTTATTTTTGCAACGTAGACAAAAAATGATGAAAAAACCCCTCAAAAACCTCTGAAATAACACACGAGAAACATTTTACGAGACTGTTTTCTTAAATTCGAGTTAAATGTTCGTGCGCCTTTCTCTGGGCCAATCTGATTGCCAAAAACTAAGAAAATTCGCCAACGGACGTTAAAATTTGAGACAGAAGTAACGCAAATCGAGTGTTAAGTTAACGCGTGACATGCAGGTTTCTCTAACGTTATCTTAATGTTCTCAGTTTGTTGTGTTTCTCATTTGCAGTAGACTTATTTTTGTACTGTTTATGTTCCGTAAGCTTTCGTCTTTAAGTGAGAGGATATTATGAAAAAACTATATCAAGATCGCTTACCTTGAATGGGGCAGAGAGAGTGAGCTAAAACTGCATCTTCGGACTGAGACGTGCCTTTGCAAGGGACATCGACCAAGCAGGAAGTGTCGTTTAAGGCCCTCGGAGATTTGATTAGCCCAGTGCTCCCGGCGCCATTAGCGCCTTTTAGTGTTTGATACTCACAATTATAATAGGTTTCACGAGCACCCAATCACAGAGTAACTTCAAAAGCTTCGGGAAAATGTCAAAGTTCAGACTGGGTGCGTCCATTGAAAGCACCCCCCCCCCCCCTCTTCCACACTCCCAGCCGCTCCGAGTTGAATCTACCGATGCTGTACTTAATTCATCTCTCATGAAGTTAGGAATAATACGTTGCGCGATTTAAGGTCCTTAAAAATTTACCTTGATTTTTTTCTCCTTCAGTTAGGAAACTATTCTGTACTTTCCCCTCATAACTCGCACCTTTGATTATTTTTGATGCACTTGAGGACAACTGGACCGCGTTAAGCAGCGCGGAGCCAAACCACATGCATCACATATTGTCACATTTGGGCCGCGTTAAACAGAAAGGAACCATGCCACATCAGCTATTGCCCAATTTAATTGGACGAATTGATTTTTTACATGAAAACTGTTGGCCGGTTTTTCGTGAAAATTTCAGTGAATTTTGTCCATAGTACGACTCGAATTCCTCAAAATTTTCAAAAGAATCTGCACAAACGTTCTCTCGTGAAAAATCGATTTGGTCAGTTAAATTTGGCGACAGCTGATGTGGCTTGGTTCTTTTCTGTTAAACGCGGTCCATTTAATCGGGCGACTTGATTCTATACATGAAAACGGTTGTACGGATTTTTTTGCAAATTCCAGTGAAATTGCTGGATGTTGCGAAGCAAATTCCTTAAAAATTAAGAAAAATCCAACCAAGCGTGCTCTTAAGAAAATTGAATTGCTCAGTTAAATTTGGCAACAGCTGTGTGGCTTGGTTTCTCTCTGCTAAACGCGGTCCGACTTGAAGCACTTGGTTCGTAAATGATACAACACAACATCTAAAACGTCAAAAACTGTTTTATCGCATTTTTTATTTTATTTTTTCTGGTTAACGCAACTTTTCTTTTTTCTCCCCAAGAAAGAGCCTCCCAAAATTTCGCCCCTGTTTCGGTATTTGATTCGACCATCGAACCAAGGTTTAAGTGGAAGCTTATAATAACAGAAAACTCAGAAAAAAATTTCAAGATGAGTATAGGAACCGTTTTCGAGTTACAGGGGGGGGGGGGCAAAGGGGTCAAACTCCGGCCTTATTTTTTGCTATTATATGTATCTTGTTGAATTGATGTGTCTACGGGGTTGTTGTCGTTGTTTACACATAATATACACAACACATCGGTTCCTACGTATTTTTACACGCAAAATCGAGTTTTAATGTTGACAAGTCGATATATCGATCGGTTATATCGATTTTTTAAGATTCTTTACGGAAAATTGACGATTTTTTGAGATTGAAATTGTTCATTTTTGATTCATGGATGACTAAATGCACCTAATATGTCTGTAGTACACCGACACCTACGTATTTTTTCTTGTACAATCGATTTTTTACGTTAACGAGTCGATATATCGATTGCTTATATCGAATTTTTGCATCATAAGCCAGGTATCTATATTACACAGCTACAAGCAAAATCTTGGAAGCACTATTTCTGACGAACTGCCGGACAGATAAGGATGATCTTTACATGTATGTCATCTGTAGTAGATGTAGATGTGCAAAAAATTATGAAACCCCGAACTTTTAATGTTGTAGAGCTTTTAAAGCTCATGTCACTTAAGTCCAATGTTAATAGCGTGAGAGATATGTCGTTTCCGCTAGAAACGTCAAGGTGTGGGATTCTACTTGAGTGACTCGAATAATCTATATTATACAGCTACAAGCAAAATCTTGGAAGCACTATTTCTGACGAACTGCCGGACCGATAAGGATGATCTTTACATGTATGTCATCTGCAGAAGATGTAGATGTGCAAAAAATTATGAAACCACGAACTTTTAATGTTGTAGAGCTTTTAAAGCTCATGTCACTTATGTCCAATGTTAATAGCGTGAGAGATATAGTCGTTTCCGCTAGAAACGTCAAGGTGTGGGATTCTACCTGAGTGACTCGAATAAACAATAAAACAATGGAAAAGCTCGTGAAGGGCTCCTCATTCGAAGAGTTGAGGAACGGTACATCGCTCAGGGTTCAAGGTTCAAGGTCCAAGGTATAAGGTTTAACTCAATTTTTCCTGCATTCTTCCGTGGAATGGTCAATTTACTTGATTGCTGAATTTCTATTAATATTTATAGCAGATAAACAGCAGATACAAAGTGAGAAGGCAGGCGCTGCGACGCGTCGGGACGGACCAAATATTATTAACTCTTAACGGTCGAAATCCGATTTTTTTTTTTCAATTAAGTATTTAAAAATAACATCATCATTAATATAAACTTCGAAGGATTCAGTCTTTCGGCGATTTTACCTTTTTCTATTTCACTCGAGAGGTTGCCAGATTGTGCGATAAATGTGAATATTTTACATGGATTTGAATTGAGAAAAGTGCTAAAAAAGCAACTTATCTGGCAACAATAGAGTCCGGGAGGGACGAGAGGCTGCCTTCCTGGGAAAGCCCATGATTTAGCCGGAAATGTCATTAAAACAATTAACTTCCGTTTGAAACATCAATTGTACACTAGGGGAAAGCTATTTTAAAATAATCTATACTATAAGCTCCAAGACCTCCTAATTTTGCGAAACTGGTAACGCTTAGTTCCAGCGTTCTACCGAGCCGATTTTCATGATTTTTCAAAATATGGCCCAGGTATTTTTATATTACGGGGTAAAGTTGCGAATTCTCCCATTTAAACAATGTAAATTTATACTTTTTGTCATCGTTCGTTTGAGCGTTCTACGATTTCCATGATTTTTGCGTAAATCGACAGGTAATAGGCCCTAGATGAGCCCGCTATAATCAGATTTTGGAAAAAGGACCCAGGTTTTTTTTAAAATCATGTTATAAAAGTGAGTGAGTTTACAGAATGCTCCGGTGCTGCTACCGCTATGCGCGGGAGGATGCGCAGTGGTCAAGGAGGTTGCGCAGTAGCTGTGTAGCCTGCGCATCAGCTCTACACTTATCTCCACAAGATTCGCTTTGGGGCCCTCATGTAGAGCGGTGGCCGAGTCGTCTAAGACGTCGAGTGCGTGCACAATGAACTCAATGTGGGATCGATCCCCGACTCATGAAATCTTAATTATTACCTGACTATCATTGTACGTTGTTTTACTGCAATATTTCATCAATCAGTCATTCCAAAACGCGTCCTTTTAATTTTGAAGTAATTTTAAGTAAAGTTTAAAATTAAAGTATACCTCATATCGTAATTTTTTAGGGAAAAAATAAAACTAACACTGATAGGAGGGTAAAAATAGGGCCGCGAAGCGGCCCATTGATGGCGCGGAGCGCCTTCAGGGGGTTAGGCCGCGTAGCGGCCAGGGGGCGTAGCTCCCTAGTAATTGTAAATGGACACAGATCCTTGATGCAGTCGCGTTTTAGATCTGGTACTGAACGGTCGCTCCTCGTCTCGCTGTCTGAGAATTTATCGATTTCGTCGTGAAAGCGTGAATTTTCATTAGTGTAATTTATATCCTCGTGTGCACAATTTTAAGACGAACTTATAGGTGCTAGCTTTTTTCATCAAAGTGCCTTCCAAAAGGGGGAAAACCCCAGTTTTCTAGACCTAGCAAATATAGTTGCATAACAAAATTGAATTTAGTGGTGTCAAGTGTATCTAATCACAATCAGTCAGACATAGGAAAACAGTGATTAATCGCGAGATCTATCTATCCAGGAACCTAGTGCTATCAATGAATCTCTCGGCCCCCGTACACGCCGCACCGCACCGCGCCCACCGTGCCACCGCACCGCCGCGCCGCGCCGCGCCGTTGGACGGCAACTGAAACTTATCACCCATCACTGCTGGATAGACGCTATTAGTGGCGACGTCATCATAGGGATTCTCCATTATATCGAATTGGATCCAAACAATAACATTGGCATAACCTCTTTCAATGCTACCAGTGCGAAAAAATCGATATATATCGCTTTTCTGTGACGTTACACTAATAGCGTCTATAAGTATTGAGCATGCATGTTTGTTTACAAATCATACCATACAGCACTCTAATTTAGTTTTAGTTTCCAGAGTAAGTCGTAGAAGGATCGACTGAAGTTTCTGAAGCCGTTTTTTTTCTCAATTCAAACCAAAGAAGTAGCAACAGGTAGCATGTAGACTCCGCGTCAGAAGTCTGATGATAAATCTATCTAACAAACTCAGACGCTTAGCAGAGGCGGATAATTTTTACTCCTCGGGACTAGCGGTACTGAGTTTCGACCTGAACGGGGGCAGATTTAACGAGAACTCTAAGGAGGAACTAAAAGCGTTGAATCGCAAGTTTAAGCTAGTAGAAATCCTGAAGCGGGTTAGAAACAGCATTGCTGCTCTAAACATGGAAAGGAGGAAACTCAAGGAGGAGAAGGAGAAGACCTCCCGAGGGCCGGCTTCTGAGCGAATGAACGCCCATAAGGGAAATGGAGAAGCCATCCTTCGAGACTCGGTTGCACTTCGGACTTTGGAGTTAAAGATTGAAGGTTGCAGAGTTGACATTTTGAAGGAGCGGAGAAGGCTAAATGAACTGGAGGCGCAAAAGGCACTGCTTAAAAACGGAACCGCAGAAGGGGAGAAAAATAAAAAGGAGTTAGAAAACGCAATGGAAACAATGTACGCTCTAGAAAGAGAGGAAAAGGTTTTCAGAAAAGAAATTATTGAATTCAAGAGACAGATTATGAACAATCTGATCATCGAAGAGGGTTCTCCGCTTAAAGAGATTCCTGAAATTGAAAAAAATATTTCTTAGTACAAAACTGAGATTCCGAAATTGGAAACTGAGGTGAAGATGAAAACAGAGGAAAAGAATGGAACAGAAGAAAGGAAGGAAAAAGAGGCTAAGGGATCGGAATCCCGGATAAAACTAATCGAGAATATAATGGAAATTAATGTAGAACTCCAAGCCCTTCAAAGCAGGAAGGAACAAGCTGCAAAACACATAAGGGATCTGGGGAAAAAAGGGAGAAAATTCTGGAAGACCATGTCCCGGTGTACAGCACAGAAGAAGGAGATACAGTTAAACAACAGGGTGTGCTTGGTGAAGAATCCCACACGGAAGAAACAAAAATGGAAGGTGTTGAGATCAATAACAAAAGAAGGATACACGATACCTCAATTGAACGAGAAGTAATAGGAATCTACAGTCTCACGGATGATGATGAGGACATTTTTACGGATAAACCAGAGAAGACATCGACGCCGAAAGGAAGCAGGGGAGAAGAGCGTGACTCTAGAAGGAAGCTGAAGAGTGGACACAAAAAGAAGCTAAAGACGGGAGATCAGCCGAGAACAAAAAAGGAAACAGAATTGACAACTGAAAGGACAAAACGAGGCAAAGGAAGGGGAAGAGGGAAAGACCCGCTAAGAGAAAACACGAAAATGGAAGATGTCCATGATAAAGAAGATATTCCCATTGGCAGAAAGAGGACTCCTGTTCTAGAATTTAACGATAACCAACCAGATATGACCGACCTGGAAGATGAGAATGTTGAAGACCTATCACCAGAATTTTCGAAATTTCTCAAGGCACTCGAAAATTCCAAGGTTCTGAGAGGGTTGAGTGAATCTTGTAAGGAAATAAAAAGTGAAATTGTTCTGATCAAGAATGATATCAAGACTTTAAACGGGAAAGTTGACGGAATTTTGGAGGGACCAGTAGACTGGAAACTTGTGAAAGACCTTAAATCAAAAATTGATAAACTAGAGCCCCAGAAACTGGAATCAGCAATGGCAAAGGTTCAATCAGCGGTCACCTCTTTTGTAGATGCCGCTAAAATAACAAAAGTCCAAAATCGTGCCCATGAGGCCGACTATCAACAAAAGGTGACGAAAGCCGCTAGCCTTAACTACGCGCTGAAAGATACCAACAACTACTCATACAAGCAGACTCGAAGGACGCTCCCCAAGAGGCTGAAGAGATACGAGTGAAGGTCACAAAAAAATTCCTATGAAAAAGATCGCGGAAAGGAAGGGTAACATTTTGGCTGTAAGAAAACTGAAAAACGCTATCTGCATCAAGGCCACAGCGGAGAAAAAAGCGGACATTGTTTCGCTTTTCAAGAAAGACGTAACTTCCGATAAACTTGAGGTTAAAGAGGTTCCACGCGATGTTGTTACGGTGAAGATTGCTACAGTACCTAGAGAAATGGAAGATAAGGAAATCATCGAGGGAATCTCTGAGAGCCTGGAAAATGTACCCTTGGAAAAGATAATGGAAAATGTCAACTTCTTGAGGAGGAAAAATGCACGGCAATGGGGTAGATCACTGGTGTATGCTCGTATTGGTGGAGACATTGCAGATACAGTAATCAAGAAAAAAGAATATTTCATGGGTTATTCTGGTAGAGTGCAGATATCACCTGCCGTATGCCGCTCACCATGTCTTGCAGTACCTGTGGCGATTTTTCACATTCCAAAAAATTCTGTGCGATGGAGAAAAGGTTATGCTTCAGGACCGCGAAAGATGATCATGAAATTGGCAAATGTAAGATACAAGAAGTCAAATGTATCCTCTGTACACGACGGAATAAACCCGCTGGACATGCCTACGCCTCCTCGATTTGTCCATTATACTGCGAGGCAATAGAACGACAACTGGCACGCGAAGGACGTGGATTGGGTGACTGTACGATGGAGGAGTACCTACAGATAAATGATGAGTCATAAGTTCATTGAACTTGAGTGCGGTCATCAAACAGCTATCAGTTCATGCGAACAATGCGTTCATTGCGAACAACAACTACCGGAGAATTTTAAAGATCCAAGTAGAGTATGGAGCAGGAATTTTAAACTACCACGAAAAGAAGAGAGGAATAAATTTAACCTGCTGGCAACTCCACTTCGTTGGGAAAAGAATATTAAATTAAACAATTTAGCTGATAGGAATAAGTGTGAACTGGAATGCGAGCATCGCATTCCTATAGGTAACTGCTCAACCTGCTTCACTGCAGTGGTATTCAATCAACCGAGCAGAATGTGCTGTAAGCACGATAGGAAATTTTACGAGTGTGGCCAATGTAAATACAAACATGTACCTAAACTTAAGTTGGGGGACGGTGAAATTGAATTCTGGGAACAGCATAGCGAGTTAAAGTCGATAATTTTTGGTAGTAAGGTCGCTGCCGCCGGGGATGCGTTATCGCCTCCACCGACGCGTGCCGCCATATTGGATTGTAAGCTTGTAAAAAATAGAATTAAGAAGGATAGCGGTCCTGTTTCCAGACATGATCGTATATTTAAAAAAAACAGGAAAGGGGGGAAAATACGACCGGGATGGGACATTATTAAGAGCAGTAGCGAGAGCGAGGAGTCTATGGTTTCGATCCTCCCCGCAAGGTATGAAATGCCGTGACCTACAGGGAAGGAGGGGAAGTCCACGTCCACATATTCTTTTGCTGCAGTTTTTAGCAACTGCAAACGTATAGACTTGTCAATGGATTTGGTATCTGATATTGCAGAGAGAGCCGAGGCCGGCTTTGTGCTGACATCGGAGCCTAACTTGAGGGTGGCGAAGAAATCTGGTATGCTGATAGCTGAGGGGGAAGGTGTTGCGGTTAGAACTACCCAAAACATAATAGGCCCCGTCACGGGGTGGGAATTGGCTGACCAGTTCTTGGTGCTCAAGTGGAACGGCATAAAAATTGTCACCTGTTATATTGAGACCAAGAAAAATGTCACAAAGCAGCAATTCAGAGACACTTTGTATAAATTGGATAATTTGTTTAAACAATTGGGGAAAAAGACAATACTGGTCGGCGATTTCAACTGCCGTTCAAAACAGTGGGGGGATAAAATCTCGAACACTAGAGGGGGCGAACTTTTCGAGGTGTTCGAAGCGAATGACATGGTCGTGCATAATCGGAAGGACGTCTTCACTCCAACGTATGTGGGACATTTGGGTGAGTCTGTGGTCGACCTGGTCGTGTCTACGTCCGATCTAGCGGCCCAAATAGAGATGGAGGTATTGCACGACTATAATATGTCTGACCATAGGGCAATATGGTTTGCCCTGAATAACGAGGAAAGAGCACCGAGAGGACAGGTTGGGGTCGCCGGCTGGTATATTGATCACACTCGGTATTCCGAATTTTGTAAAATAGTTAAGAGTAAGGTAGATTTATTGGAGACAGATCTTTCAGCGGAAGCATGTTGCGAGATTGTCACGGAAACGTGTGATGAATTGTTCAAAAGAAAATCGGAGCACATCAGGAAGAGACCACTCTACTGGTGGACTCCCGAAATCGGTAAAGCCAGAAAAGAGTGTGAGAAGATGAGGAGAAGGATTTTGACACATAGGAAAAACAAAATCAAGAGTAATAAACATCTTGAGGAGCACGGTTTAAAGCAAAAAGAACTGGCAAAGTTAATTTATGAGTCGAAAAAGAAAAAATGGATGGAACTAGTTAACGATCTGGAAAGAGACGTATGGGGTTTCGCTTACAAAGTTATCAAGCGGAAAATCAAGAGCCCCCGGTCTTTTGATAATAGTTCCATCTCTGACGAGCAGCTCTACGAGACGGTCTCGCAGCTGTTTCCGATACATGAGGATGTTGTCAAGAAGGGGAGGGTAGTAGATGAGACCGAGATACCCCGGATTACAGTGGAAGAGTTAGATAGAGCCTTGAAAAGGATAAAAATTGGCAAATTCCCGGGTCCGGACAACAACCCCCATATACTGGCTAAGCTATTTGTGCAGAGCAATAAATCGAAATTTCTGGACATGCTTAACAACTCCCTTGTGAAATGAGAGTTTCATTAAAGTTGGAAGGAGGGCAAACTGGTGTTGCCCCCCAAAACATCGGGGAATCAGCCCAAAAAGTACCGTCCAATTTGTATGTTGACGTCCTTCAGTAAAATTTACGAGCACGTAATAACAGCAAGGCTCTATGAAAAAGTAAAATTAAGTGAAAAACAATTTGGATTTTTAAAAGGACGATCTACGATTAGTGCTCTGTACAGGCTTAGGCAGGCTTATGAGAGAATTAAGAACATTCCGAAGAGAGTTAGAGGCATTCTGTTGGGTGTCGGTCTGGACATCTCGAATGCTTTTAACTCTCTGAGGTGGGACGATATTACCCTATCGCTGGAAACTCAGGCTGTACCTGAGTACTTAATAAAATTGTTGGAATCTTATTTTAAGGAAAGATCGGTCTCCTACAGGGGACATACCTTCCGAATAAATAGCGGAATAGGCCAGGGTTCAATTCTTGGACCCTTAATTTTTAACATTGTCTTCGACAATATTGTAAGGATGAAAGTAGATCCAGAATTAGAAAAGATTGTATATGCAGACGATACCCTGCTGCTGATCTACGTGAGGAATGAAGACGAGATCAAAGAGGCCACGAGCAAAGTTACGAGGAGATACAGGAAGAAACTTAAAGAAAAGGGACTTAAACTGGCGGCGGACAAGTCAGAGGCGATCGTTCTGGTGGGTAACGGGGTGAGTAGTGATGTCGAAGTCATGGTAGATACGGAGGTGATACATGCTGGGACACCGTTCAGACACCTCGGTTTTTATATAGACAGGGGGTTTGACATGTCCAGGCATGTTCACATCGTATGTGACAAGATGAGACGGGTTGGTCATTCTTTCAGGCCCATCATGCCCAATACTGCCGACCCGAGTTTCTTCCGTAGGATCCTTATCGTACAGGCAGTCTTGTCCATTCTCTTTTACGGGGTCACGGTATGGTGTTCCGCGATGCAAAAGAAGGGTAATATTAAAAAGATTACTTCAACATTAAGGCCACTTAAACGGATGCTTGTCGGGGGGTACGTCTCTTGCTCTAATTTTAGTTTAGACATCTTGTCGGGGATTCCTCCTACCAAAATTTTGGTGGAGGAAAGAGTAAGAAAGGCCAATAAAATGGACCCCGAAAAGATAAATAGGTATAAAAGAAGGGATTGGCTCGCGGCGTGGAGAGAAGATACGGGCAATGCGTGGTTTAAGAGAATTCTTGGTGACCTGGGGATCTGGCTGGATAGGGGTCACGGATGTTGTGACTTTTATCTCTGCCAGTTCCTGGCCGTTCTGGACGGCTAGCAAAAGTATAAAAGTGTAAAAATATAGGGTCTACTCGTCTACTCTTTCTATTCGTTTAGGATAAAAGATCTAATTTCCATTGCTGATGACAAAAACATATATGGTGCAGAAATGTGCTCAATTTTTGCTGATTTTTTTAGGATTGACATTGAACTTGGTACATTTTTAAAATAGAAGTTCCTAACGCTAGTGTACATTGGACATTCAAAGAGGATATGTTCTAGTTTTTCCAGACGGCATAGATTGCAGATAGGGCACTGTTCGACTAATTCCTCACAATCAAAACATCTTTCTGGGACTGGTAAACTCCTTGGGATAAGATGTTGGTTTAATATAGGAGTGAAAGGTAAACGCTGGTTCTATAGTCAGTAATTATTTTCCTGGGCTTGACGAGGTATTTTTCGACGAGAAACTCGAATTTTCAGTCCAATTTTCTAAATTCGTAAATCCAAGATGACGGATGTGGCCTAAAATGCTATCTCGGCTCCTATTGCAACGATTTTCGCGAAACTTGCAACCAGGGGGTATTTTTCGACGAGAAACTCGACTTTTCGGTCACAAATACAAAATTAGCAAATCCAAGGTGGCGGATAAGCCTGGATGTGACTTTGTGCAGATATATGCTTATGACCCGCTCTTCCACACTACGTGTTGGATTTACCAGCTTGTTTGTAGATGGATTTGCGCAAAAATTGGTATCATAGAGTATTTTGACATGAAAAAAAAAATGAATTTGACGTTAGATTTTAGAAAAAAACCCGAAAATTCCAATATGGCCGCCGATTCAAGTTCAAAATGGCCAAAAATTGACAACTCCGTTTTTTACTGATGGATTTGCTGAAACTTGGGACTGAGGGGTATTTTGGCATGGAATTAACACATTTGAAATTCGATTTCTACAAAAAAAAAAACAATTTTCGGCCACTTTGGAAATTTTGATTTTCTTAAAAATGGATTTTCTTAAAAACTTTGGTTTTCTTAAAGTGTAAAAATATAGGGTCTACTCGTCTACTCGTTCTACTCGTTCTACTCGTTTAGGATAAAAGATCTAATTTTCATTGCTGATGACAAAAACATATATAGTGCAGAAATGTGCTCAATTTTTGCTGATTTTTTTAGGATTGACATTGAACTTGGTACATTTTTAAAATAGAAGTTCCTAACGCTAGTGTACATTGGAAATTCAAAGAGGATATGTTCTAGTTTTTCCAGACGGCATAGATTGCAGATAGGGCACTGTTCGACTAATTCCTCACGATCAAAACATCTTTCTGGGACTGGTAAACTCCTTGGGATAAGATGTTGGTTTAATATAGGAGTGAAAGGTTTGAAATCATGGGTAGAGGTAAAACAAATTTTATTTGCATCATGACAAAATGTTGGTTATCATTTGGATCGAGTCTTTTTCCCATTCATATTAGATACCCATTCTTTACAAAACAATTGAAACAGTTGCATCGCTGCTTTTGCCGAAAAACGTTCCTGCACCCCGATTTTTTTTTTTTTTTTTTTTAAGTTTATTGTTAAACAATAAAATACATATGTCACTACTACCAATACATAAGAACGCCGGTATCTATTGACTTGAATTAATTTATATCTAAACTATTTAACTAGGAAAAGAACGTATGATAAGATATTGAGCTTATCATGATGGTCTGGGGCATGTAATGCCTCTAGCCATTGATATAAAAATAGATTGAAATTTACTCCTCGTGGGAAGGCACACGGGGAAGGAGCACCCCGCCGTCAGGAGCACATCAAACAGAAAGGAAGAGTAATTGATTGGTCCTTTGGCACTGTCATCGCATCTCTCCCCTTACGACTGTTGATTACTCCAGCGGGGAACCCCCCGGCCCCCATTCCAACACGCCACCACCGTCGCACTTGGAGTTGCTTAAATTATGGTGTTACTTCCATAGGAAGTTTAATTGAGGAAAGCAATGTATTTATTGTTGATAACAATTGAGTAATTTGGGCCGATTGTTCTGTTACAATTTTTCAAGCTATGAGAGTCGTTTATCAAATTCTTGGGAGGAATACGTTTGATTATCAGAATGAGATTGATTATGAGGTTCCTTTCCTTTTTGATTTGCGGAGACTATTTTGGCGGACCTAATGCCTAGCTTTAATTGGTCATTAGGAGGGTGAGCTAATAAGCTATTTTGGGGAGGGTTTGCTGCAGGTTTAGGAAACATTTTTTTCTTGATCTCCTTATAAACATTGCACCCACTGAAGTTGCCGAAATGCGTCTCGTTACAGAGAGCACATGTCGGCAACACGGGAGCACAAAATTCGCGGAAATCTTGTTGGCGGGGGCATTCTTCGGGGGAGTGAAAGTCCCCACAGGTTATATACAACGTGGAATTCTAAAACAATAGTGCTGATAATGTCCTAGGACTAAACATTTTTTACATTACATTGATATGTATAGAATCTAATATGATTAGATTTAAAATGATTATAAAGTAGATTATAGTCTTCTTTACTTTTAAGTACTGACTTTACCTGTGACTAGCTGCTTCAGCTCGCTACGCTCGCTTGCGCCGCTAGCCGGTGGCTTCGCCCCCTGGACCCCCAGTCACTCGCTCCGCGAGTGACTGGGGGTCACAATCAAGGCTACATAACAATTTCTCAAAGGTTTTAATGGAAAATTATCTATTTAATAACCATTTTATTTATTTAATAACTAAAATAAACATTTTTCACATTGTATACTTTCTTTCTTTTTCTTAGGAAATTCGATCTTGATAAGCATATCTTCGATATTACGAATTTGTTCAATGATTTTCTCAACATTTTTGGTGGGAAAAAAGTCAGTATTGAACAGTGGCAACGTTTTCTTGGTTATGTAATGTATAACTGGGGATATGTTTTTGACTGTTATTCCTTCATGGGTTTCAAGTACTCTATTAATAGTTTCTATTGGAAAATCAAATGGAAGACCTCTGATGATTCTTCTAATAGGTCTGCTTTCTTTGAATTGATATGTATAGAATCTAATATGATTAGATTTAAAATGATTATAAAGTAGATTATAGTCTTCTTTACTTTTAAGTACTGACTTTACCTGTGACTAGCTGCTTCAGCTCGCTACGCTCGCTTGCGCCGCTAGCCGGTGGCTTCGCCCCCTGGACCCCCAGTCACTCGCTCCGCGAGTGAATGTTGGCTCGCGAAGCGAGCCAAATTTTGCTACTACGAGTAATTAGAGGACTTCCTGGAGGAAAAATGATAAATTCAAAAACAAAGAATAAGAAACTGATAATGATAACAACCTACTTCTAGAAAAAGAAACATCCTTGAAAAATAAAAACACTCCTTGAAAAGAAAATCAAAACACTTTGTGAAAATTTAACGGTGCGAAAGGGTGAACATTAATTACCGATTCTCTTGGAAGAACACATGAGCTGCTGTAAAAAAGTTAATTATTAATAAAACCTGTGCTGCCGTAAAAAGGAAAATTATCTTCTGAAAAATACACATGAAAATTAAGCAATTTTCATGTAAAAAAAAAAAACTATAATGATAAAATCAAGAAAGCAAAACTCTAGACGCACTACTGAGAAACCTGGACAAACCGAGAACTGATTATGAGCAATGCGACGGAGGAAATGCGTAGTAGGTGTTCCGAGTCAGACGGCATAAGAAAGGGAGTGATACTGACAAAGGACCCATGCCAGAGCAGAAGGGTGACACGTACCAACGGCAGGTAGGGATGGGTTTACGTGGAGAGGGAAACGGAAAATCAGAGGGCGGGAGGTCCCCCAACCATATGACTCGTCCAGCGGCAAAGACGAAAATATTTCGTTATCAAATCGAGGTAAATTTTGCAACGTCGGTCGCGCAAATTGAAAAACTAAGGAATGTTGGCTCGTCTACAGCCTAAGAGCTTTCATTTAAAACAAATCCGAGCAAAATCGGTCCAGTAGTTTCCGAGATCGAATTAGCACAAACGTAAACGTGCGTCAAAAACGCAAGCATGTCGTTATCAAATCGAGGTAAATTTTGCAACGTCGGTCGTGCAAATCGAAAAACTAAGGAATGTTGGCACGTCTACAGCCGAAGAGCTTTCATTTAAAACAAATCCGAGCAAAATCGGTCCAGTAGTTTCCGAGATCGAATTAGCACAAACTGTCCAACGTCAAAAACGCAAGCATGTCGTTATCAAATCGAGGTAAATTTTGCAACGTCGGTCGTGCAAATCGAAAAACTAAGGAATGTTGGCACGTCTACAGCCTAAGAGCTTTCATTTAAAACAAATCCGAGCAAAATCGGTCCAGTAGTTTCCGAGATCGAATTAGCACAAACTGTATGAGGCCAAAAAAGGCCTTAGGATATTAAATATTAAAAAAAAAAAAAAAAATATAGATTGCTTAATCATTTGCATTTTCGCGTCCTTGACAAGAGTGTCAACGACCGATTTTTTGAATAGTAACAAGTTGCCTACTTCAGAAACATAAAGAGGAGGCATTTTTACTATATCATTGCACTGAGGTTAGAAAGAATTCTGAGGTCCATTAGGTGCCAGGGCCCAGGGGGCCGAGCACCGCAACGCACACGCTAGCACGCCCACGTCACGCCGCAAAGCAGCCACACAAACACCTTATCAGATTGATAGCACAGATTAGGGAGCTCGAAAGGATGTACGTGTCTGACTCGGACCAAAGCTGATAACGAACTCGCACCTCGTATCTCGGCTCCTATTGCATCGATTTTCGTAAAACTTGATACCACGAGGTATTTTTCGACGAGAAACTCGAATTTTCAGTCCAATTTTCTAAATTCGTAAATCCAAGATGGCGGATGTGGCCTAAAGTGCTATCTCGGCTTCTCGCTAAATTGCGCCGCGACCGATGCCTTGCATTTCAAAAAAGAGGAGGTGAACGGTCATTTTAACAGATGTTGTCATAATGGTCTTCTCAGACTTGCCAAGCCTGGAATCGATGACCATGACGGGCAAAAATGTAGAGGCCACTTCTGAACTCAGTGGCTTAACGTAC